TCTCTGCCTGCCTCTCTGCCTACTTTTGATCTCTGTCAAATAAAATTATAAAAAAAATTATGAAGCGCTTTGGGGGAAAACACAGATGATTAGAACAACAGGGTTGGGGCTGGTCCAACATACATTTGCAGGAAAACCTCCAGCAACTGCCAAACTTAAGCAAAAGTTCCGGCGTGGTTTGCCTTACATAAACCCAATAAAGGAGAACTCAAAAATGGAGGAAGGGGAGCAGAACACAGTACCCCAAAGTGTGTCACTTGGGGATGTGGAACGGTTTGAGCTGAAGGCGATTAAAACCCAGCAAACTCAGGAAAAGTTTTTTACCTCTCGCCTTCACCACTTAAATGAATTTAGATAGGATGCCTGTACCTGGAAGAGCGCTGTTAACCTGAGATAACTTTTTTGTTCTTCTTTTTGAGAGGGAGAGAGAGGTAGGGAGAGGCTGAGGGAGGGGGAGAGAAAAAAATCTTAAGCCCGAATGCAGCACAACCTTGAGATCACGACCTGAGCTGAAATCAAGAGTTGGATGCTTAACTGACAGCCGCCCAGGCACCCCCAGGGTTAACTTTTTCTATCAGAGAGATGTATGGCATGGCAAATATTTGTTTACCCAACATTAGCTCTTCTCTTCTTCCGGTGAATTGTCCTCCTCCCCCTTGAAGCCGGAGGCTGCTACCCCCTTTCTCCTCAGCCAAGGATGACAACGCCAGCCTCTAGGACCTGCCTGCGCCTGGGGGTCTCATATTTTTATTTGTTCATTTTCCTCCTGTTAATCTGTCTTATGTCAATTTGATTATTAGGCCAGGCCAAGAATCACAGAAGGGAAAAAGGGAAAAGTTCTTCACCCCTACGCCTGTAAGAATAGATCGGATCTGAGAGTGGAAAGAATTTACCTCTGGGTTATTTTAAAGAGTTTGCTCAATTGAAAATTTTGAGCCAGAACGTCACCAAATGGAGGATTAGATGATGCCTGTTACATGAATACAGTGGACTATTAAACGGTTATTAAAAGTTGTGTTCTTTGGGCGCCTGGGTGGCTTAGTGGGTTAAAGTCTCTGCCTTAGGCTCAGGTCATGGTCCCAGGGTCCTGGGATCGAGCCCTGCATCGCATTGGGCTCTCTGCTCAGCAGAGAGGCTGTTTCCTCCTCTTTCTCTCTCTCCCTCTCTCTTTGCCTGCTTCTCTGCCTACTTGTGATCTCTATCAAATAAATAAATAAAATCTTTAGAAGTTGTGTTCTTAATATAATGGGAAGATGCCATTGTTGTAATGAGGGGGGCAAAGTTGGAAAGGAAACTGTATAATTATGGAGGGGAGGAATATTCGCCACCCCAAAACGTCTCTTTAGCATGTGGATAATTTTAAGCTGATTATATTGAAGAAATGGAAGACTCAAGAAGTTTTTCTTCTCTCCCTCCCCTCTAACTGCCTAAAAGAATTGAAATAGAAGATCCACTCCAGGAAGGGAAGAGTCCCCTTAGATACCTACATTATACTATGAACTTGGGGTGGTGGACACAGAGGAAGTTAGCAAAATCTGTTAAAATTTCTCTCTATGTCCCATTGTTTCTGTATGACCCAGGAAACATTGTTCACCAAACATTTATTCTTTTTTCGTCTTCCTAGGAATTGTCTTCTCTTTAAAGATCCAGAAACTTAATCCTTCTCCTTAATGCTAGATGGTATGTAAACCTCAATTGCGTAACTGCCTGGGGTCTCATATTCTTGGAGATGGAAAAGTGCCCCCTCCTGTTAACCTGTTCAATCTGTCTCTTGCCAGTTTAATTCTTAGACCAGCCAAAAGATCCTTGAGTGGTAAACAATTTTCCTTTCCAACGATTGAAATTTTTTTTTAATTCCATAATAAAGAGACTGGAAAGACACCAAATCATTAACCAGAATTGTTCCCGAGCGTTGAGATTGTAAATAATAGCCTTTTTGTCTTTTGAATTGTCTGACTGTCCACATTTTCTATAATGAGTATTATTTTCATTATAAAGATTAAAATGAGGGGCACCTGGCTGGTTCAGTCGGAGAAGCATGCAACTCTTGATTTTCAAGCCCCACACTAGGTGTAGAGGTGACTAAAGCAAATAAAAAAAACTTGAAACAAAATAAAACAGTAAAGATTAAAATAAACATTTAAAAACAAAAACCAAGCTTTGTAGTCTAAAAATTGAATTTACCCAAAACTTATCTGCATTGTCGTTATTGGGATGCATCTCGGGGGGAGGGAGAAAAAGTTCCGGGACAACTGTTTATGAAGTCTTTATCTAATTCTTTCATTTACTTAAGAATGGATCTATAATAATCCAGAACTAAGGTAGAAGAGTGAAAGAAAAAAAAAAAGCCCGATGATCCTTTGAAGAAAACGTGTTGCGATTATTTAAAACCCCTAGCTTCTCATTTTGGGAGCTTGAAACGAATTGGCTAAATGAATCGAACAGCTAATTTATTTGTTCATTGTATCGAATGGGAGAATTCCGCTTAAATGTTCGGAATTGGTAGGTAGCACTGTACAAGAAAAGGTGAAGGCGGTGATGACAAACCAATAAATTAAAGGAGGCTGTTTGGCGAAATCGCTGAGTCAAGAGTCGGGCAATCACGTGAAGTTTTTAATAAAAACGAAACTAAACCAGAAGTGGTGAGCTTTGCCTCCCTTCCCCACCCCTTCTTGGTATTGTTACAGGCGCGGGGAGCGTCGTTGGCATATCTCCTTTGGCTTTTCTGCGGGGTGGACCGGGCGGGCGGGAGCGGAAGGGGCGGTGGAAGGAGGGGGATCTGGGCCGGCGGGTGCGCCTTTGCACTTGTGGGTCGGCGTTTTGGGAACAGCGGCGCATCGATCCGGACGAGACATTGGCCTTTTGTGTCTCTTGCGTCTGGTACCTTTGGCGGGCCGGCTGCCGCTGTGGGAGGCTGCGCTTGGTGCCAGCGGTCAAGGAGACCTTGCTCGGCAAAGCGACTATTGTACTTTGAGCGAGTGACTCCCGGAGGCTTTGCCGCTTTCTAGGCATTTCTCCAGGAGCTTTCTCCCCCTGGAGGCCTAGCTTCTAAATGCAGCATGTTTTTGCCTTGTGACGCTGTTTTATTCTCGGCTTTGGCGCCAAGAGTGGAATGCAATCCTTACCAGTTAATTATGGCTTCTTGGAGGAAAGAACAATAAAGTGTTGTCCTTTATGTCTTAAGTCTGTACTTCTGAGTTCAATCGCAGTAGTTGCTTTGAAGTCTTTACCTGGCGTAATTACTCACCTGGTACCCTTTATGAGCGCAAGAGCCTGCACCAAAGTGTGGGCCTCTCTTGGGTTGGCTTTAGTCAATTTCGACATAAAGAGACACCCCACTGTGTCGCGTATGTACATATGTCAAACCTCATCAAATTGTACACTTAAAATATGTGTAGTGTATTGAATGTTAGTAATACCTCAACAAAGCTTTTAAAAAGGAACACATTCAGAGAAGTAATAAATGGTAATCAAAATTAAGAACTGATAAAATGCAAAAATTTATTTCTTTTATCAATGTCACTGAGTAGTGAAAAAAACCATTATCTCTTGCCTTTTCTTGGTGAGTTGTTACTTATTTTAAAGCCTTAAATTTCTGTAAATATAGGCACATGGTTTTACCTGTGAAGTTTTTCCTAAATGAGGACATTTCATTAGTACTTTATTTACTATGGTTGTGACACCTACGAAAGCACAATGCCATCGGGCATCAGAAACAGAGAAGAGGCGTGTCTGGGTGGCTCAGTCAGTGAGCCTTTAGCTCAGGTCTTGCTCAGTGGGGAGTCTGCTCTTCTCCTTCTCCCTCTGCCCCTCCAATCCCACCATTGGTGCTTTTTCTCTCTCTCAATAAAACAAATAAAATCTTTTTTTTTTTTAAAAAAAAACAACCCAGAAAAGAAACATCACTGCCCCGGGGGCACCTGGGTGGCTCAGTCATTAAGCAACTGCCTTTGGCTCAGGTCATGATCCCGGGGTCCTGGGATCGAGCCCCACGTCAGGCTCCCTGCTCATCAGAGTGTCTACTTCTCCCTCTCCCGCTGCCTGCTGCTCCCTCTGCTTGTGTTCTCTCCCTCTCTCTCTCTCTCTCTAAAATGAATAAATAAAATCTTAAAAAAAGAAAGAAAGGAACATCACTGCCCAGTAGAGGTAACACATGACCAGTGTCAAGAAACAGGCTAATAAGAGTCAGGCTGGCCTAGGTCTGAACTCAAAATCTTGCCACTGAGCTGTAGGAGCAGCTAATTTTCCCGGGGCCTCAGCTTCTCACAGGGTCCTAAGTGAATCAGGGTCAGCAGAAGAGGAACAGAAAAAGGGATCATTTGGCCTCTATTCTGGAGTTGGTGTGGGGGGGTTGGCTCGAATATGGGCTGCTGCATGGTAGTAAAGTCTTGTGAAATTGCTGGTAGAATGGTTATCACAGAAGTTAATCCTAAGTGAAGTCCATGGAACCCCAGTGCTAGAGGGTGGGAGCTGGTGAATGTCTCCAAAATCTGAAAACTCCCCAGGCCTTGAGGACCCTTAAGGAATAAATGAGATAGTAATTGTTAGGGCCGATTTAATGTTAAAACCTGTTTAACTATTAGGGCCTGCTTAGCCAGAGCAACTCCATATTGCCTAGGTAGCTATATTGTTGTTTACACCCACAGACTTCATTCTGGGAATAAACGCCCCAGTAGTTCCTGGTATGGTTCCGGGTATCGATTCTGGGAGTAAACGCCTTAACAATAGAAGCCACATACCTTGGGTCTGTGGTTATGCCCTATAAAACCAGCCTGTGAGATTGAGGCGTCGTCACTCTTCAGAGGCGGCCCTGGCCAGTCAGTCTGACTTCTAACACTTAGCATAGAATAAAACTCTACATAACTTTCACTTTGTCTCAGTCTCGTGGTCAGTCTGACTTCTAATGCTTGGTATAGAATAAGACTGCATAACTTTCACTTTGTCTCAGTCTCCTTCCTTTGATAACGGACCCAACGTTCTGGGGGCTCGTCCGCGATCAAATGACGAGAACTGAGTCAGCATCAGAATTTCTGGGAAAAGCCTCCAGAGGTGAGATCTTGAGATTTCATTCTGCAGGATCTGGTCTGTCTGTCTGGTTGCGGAGCTCCAGGGTATAGCCTGGGAAGAACCTGGATGCAGCATTGCTCCCCAGGGCTGGAGTGGATGCAGGGACGCCCCATCCCTCCACTGGGAGATTGCCAGGGGGTTCGAGTCCCCCTAGGCGGTCAGGGGGTTCTAGTCCCCCTAGGTGGTCACCGGGGGTTCAAGTCCCCCTAGGCGGTCAGGGGACTGAGAAAATCCCCACCAGCAGCAGGTTGTATTTTTGAGTTGGGATTATATCTTGCACACCCTTAGACTTGATATCTGGTCGAGGAAGGGCTGCTGGGTCTGGTCTGCGGTTGTCTTTGTCTTGTCTTTTTGTTGTCTGTTGTGTTGTTGTGTTTGAAGAAATGGGGCAAGTGGAGAGTAAGGGACCTATGACACCCCTAAGTCTTATTCTCCAGCATTTCAAGGATTTTCAAGGTAAAACCACCCAGTTGAATGACAAGGCTTACCCAGGAAAACTCTCTAAAACTGGGAATCCTTTCTCTGCCTTCTGGCAGCACTCCCCCTTCTGTTTCTGCACCAGCTTGGATGCGGCCTGCATAACTGGCCTCTAGACCGTCCTCAGTGCTTCCTGCACCACGGCTCCTTTTCTCTTCACTGTCAAGGAGCAAAAGAACAGCCCCTGGACCTAACACCCCGCACTCCAGATCTTCCCACCCGTGTCTCAGGTAAACATTAAAAGAGGAGTGGGTCTAGGTGAAATGTAAACCACTATTTGAACTAAGTTAAGTTTGTTGGTTTAATTAAGATAGACATGTCTTTAAAGTTACAGCAGTAAATGTGAAACTTCAATCAAAATTTACTGAAGGTCAAATAAGCTCATGCTATTTGTTAAAACCTGTTATCAAAGAAATAACTAAACTGGTGGTTAATTGTCTGTCTCAAAGTTTTAATGGGTAATTGTTAAAGTAACTTTCAAAGTCTTTGGTAACCTGAAACTTTAAAGTTTTGGTTGGATGACAAATGAAATTAAATTTGTTGGACATCTAGGTCTTAACCAAATGGGATAAAATGCTAAAGCATTGAGTACTTGATGTAGGTTTGTGCTTTTGACTTCTTACTGAAAAGAAACTAAGAATATTTAAATCTGTTGGTAAATATGTTTTGTGCTTAACTGATTCATAAATTTGCCATCTACAGAATTCTGTTGTAACTATTCACAATTGGTTAGTACTTAACCATCACTAGAGACTGAAGTGTTTCTAAGAATAGAAAATTCTGCTAACTGTAACTAAGACTGATGGAAGTAAGGGAAATAACCCTATATGTAAAAAAAAAAATAGGAGATACATAAGAAAGATAAGGAATGGGAATACATTTTGTTAAAGATAAAAGGTAATTTTGTCCTAAATGAGATGGTTGTTTGAAAGGAAATGGCTTGGGACAAAACCTGGATGCAAAAGAAAGTTGTAAAAGGTTTATGAAGGGAAATCTTCAGAAAAAAAAAAATTTAGGTATGGTCAGGATGGACTACCCCCCCACAAAAAAAAACAAAAATGCCATAAGGTTTTTATTAAAAGTTTTAATGTTGTCTGAAAAACCAGAAGAAAGACAGTTGACTGATAGTAAGTTTAGAAAAAACTGTACACGCACAAAAAGAGGGCCTAAGAGAGTAAGTAGTTTTGTCTTAAAGTAAAAATGTCTGGTTGCACAAGAACGTGAAAGGAGATAATAAAAACTAAACTTGAGGGTATATAATAAGTCATAGGAGGCTTGGGGAAAATGACTTTTACTTGCCTTGTTTTATAGGTTTAAAAGGAAACAATGAAATATGTTGAAAATTTGAACATATTAGATCAGTTTTGATGGATTTATTCACAAGAAGAAAAAAAAGACGAATAAATCTTTTCCTGTAAAATGTTTCTGTTCAAATGAGGCATAGTTTTTAAGGAAGAAAGACATGTCATGACAAATCTATACTGATGATCTACTCAAGTAAATGTTAACTATTATGTATTAATTGATCTGCTGTTAAAAAGAGAATGTAAATGGTTTTCTCTTTGCCTGCCCAGAGAAACCAGTTTCTATGTTTTGTTTTATCAGATCTTAAACATCCATAATCCTATTTAAGCATGTGCTTTAAAACTTAGATTTTAACAACTGTCAACAAGATTTAAATTATAAATGAGATCTCTTTGACCCATAAGGCTTTTCCTTGGTACACTAAGTTACCCAGGAAGTACTGCTAAACCAATGATAAACCTTGGGTTCCATTTGGGTAAATGTTATAACTATTATAGAGATTCTATGCATTTCCTAAAGTTTTAATGTTTTGATAAGGGTCATTACTTGATATTTAACCATATCTATTCTGAGTTTTTTTCATTTGTAATTGTTTTAATTCTCTTGTAAAATGAATTCTGCCCTAAAGGAAATTCATATGGGAGACTTTCAGGACAAATACAGGTCTTTGATATGTTGAAATCCTGGAACTGAAATGGGTAAAAATTTCCAGAAATAAGAGCTGCATTCGAACTAAACCAGAATTAGTAACATGGGACAAGATGAACTAAAAGATTGTAATGTTATGTCTCTTAATGTTGTATCTGTTATTTTAAACATTGCTGGTTCTCTAATGTTTGCTCTTCCAGACTGAAAAAACTTTTTTTCTTAAAATGTCTGTGACTTACAGAAATGTAAAAATATTCATTTGTAAACAAATCAAGACATTCAACTTTTCTATCTGAACCCTCTGAAACCAAAAGGTCTCAGCAAGTATTCTTTCTTCCACAACAATCAGTCATTTGCATAAGTTCAATAAAAATCTGTTCTCCTTGTAACAGGACACCATTGGAAACACTGGTTATTTTACCAAGGCTTAGACTGGAATGTCAAATTTGAAAAAGACTCAGATATGACTAGACAGCTTAAAGGAACTAAGGTTGACTTTATAAAACCTGGAGCAATAAAGCCCCATGAAACTGTTGGCCTGACACCTTGCTTACAGAGTTCCCAGCAGCCTCACCAGGTCAGTAAAGAATGTCACTTCCTGGCAGGTGCAGGAACCTCAGGATACATTGGGGACCCCAGAAAGAGGAATTCACCAAAATCGACAGGTATTGCAGGCATGTCTGATGGCAAGTACTTGGCTTGGCTTCTGGCCTGGAGAGGCTATTACAAGTTCAACCTAGAGATTCCTTATAAGAAGTTCCAGCAAAGAGGCACCTGGGTGGCTCATTAGGTTAAAGCCTCTGCCTTCGGCTCAGGTCATGATCCCAGGGTCCTGGGATCGAGCCCCACATCGGGCTCTCTGCTCAGCGGGGAGCCTGCTTCCTCCTCTCTCTCTGCCTGCCTCTCTGCCTGCTTGTGATCTCTGTCTGTCAAATAAATAAATAAATAAAAAGAAGTTCTAGCAAAGCAGATTCTAAAAGATCTATATGATCACTCACTATTCTTGCTGAACTTATGTAAATAATTAGGCCAAGTTTGTTAAAACTGGACTTGTTTTTCAAATAAATTAGTCCTGATTTAGCTATCTCTGGAAATGAGGGTTATTTTAGAGAGAAAAATTATGTTTCAGTAACACACCTTTATGGATATTAAGTTCTAGATTTTGTTGTCTTTAAATGTTTATTTACCTAAGCTAGACAACTTGAGATAAACTTCAGAAAAGTTGCACAATAGCTTGTTTAGATGATCTTGCCTAATATTCTGTAGGGATAATAACAGAACCCTTTGGACACAAATATATGTTAGTTTTATGGATACCTTTTCAGACTGGTAGAGGCTTTTTCCGCCAAACATGAGATGGCAAGAATAGTAGCCAAAAAGCTACTAAAAAAAATAATTCCTAAGTTTGGGTTACCTCTCGAGATCAGGTCAAACAATGGCCCTGCATTTGTGAGTTCAGTCTCACAGGCATTGGCCAAGGCCATGGACACTAATTGAAAACTACACTGTGCCTGCCGGCCCCAGAACTCTGGACAAGTAGAGAGAATAAAACGGACTCTTAAAGAGACCTTGACAAAGTTAATTCTGGAAACTGGCAGTGGATGGATGGATCTCCTTCCCTTCGCCCTCCTTAGGGCGTGATGTACACCCTACTTAAACAAGGTTACCCCATTTAAAGTAATGTTTGGGAGACCTCCTCCACTCTGCCCATGGCTACAAGAGGTTGCCCTAGCAGAAATGACCAATCAGTCTGTACTCCAGTCACTGTAGGCGCTACAGTCTGTCTTAAAAAGAGCCCACGCAGGGATCTGAACTCCCTACCCTGAGATGGAGACGGAGGTGGAACCACATCCTTACCAACCCGGAGACTTGGTTTGGATATGCCGCCACCAAGTGGGAAACTTGAAGCCTAGTTGGAAGGGACCATTTACTATCATCCTATGGAGGACCCGAAGGATTCCAACATCTTACTGCAGGAATTAAACGGACAAAGCGTGCGGTTCCCATCCTAATTCCAGCACTACTTGTGGCAGGAATAGCAGGGTCCACAGCAATAGGAACTGCAGCTTTAATAAAGAAGGACTTAACATACTATTCCTAAAAAAGAAGGGGCTCTGTGTAGCCCTGGGAGAGGAATGCTGCTTCTGGGTATTAACGCCCTAATGTCACTTGTACAAAAAAAGAGGAATTGGGGCGATAAAAATGTCAGTCCTACAAACTCAATATAACCCCTTACAACAGAAAGACATAAAACTGGCTGAAAAGTCAAGAAATTGACTAATCTCCAAAGAAAAGGGGGGAATGTTAGGGCTGATTTAATGTTAAAACCTGTTTAACTATTAGGGCCTGCTTAGCCAGAGCAACTCCATATTGCCTAGGTAGCCATATTGTTGTTTACATCCACAGACTTCATTCCGGGAATAAATGCCCCAGTAGTTCCTGGTATGGTTCTGGGTATCCATTCCAGGAGTAAACGCCTTAACAATAGAAGCCACATACCTTGCGTCTGCGGTTATGCCCTATAAAACCAGCCTGAGATCGAGGCGCCGTCA